GGATTTCGTTCCCAGAAAAAGTAATTAAACCATCTTATTGTAAACGCATTCATTGGTAATCTTACCATCTAAAAACTATGAAAAATAATTTATCCAAGTTGATCTTTATCTTCTAACAAATCGCCTTGATATCAAAAAAGCTAGAAACTCATATTGCAAAATGTATCGAGAAGCAATTAAAAACGCAAAAATCAGTGCTAACGATACATATATAAATCAATCTCATAATAAAATGCGAGCAATGTGGTCCATGATTAATTCTAAACGAAGTGTTAAGAAAAGGAATAAAATATGCGGTTGTAATAAAAGTGCTCATGATTTTAATGTATTTTCAGTTTAGCGAAGTGTCTTGCGCTGAAGTTCGTGATGTTGTAAAAAAATCAAGAAATAGTAAAACCAAAGATATCTATGGTCTTAGCGTTGAAATAGTCAAAACCGTTCTGGATGTCATAATATCTCGCCTTAAGAAATGAATTAATTCAAGTATTAAAACACTTACTTTCCCCGACTGTTTGAAAATTGCAAATGTCCTACCAATTTTTAAAAAGGGGGAACCCAGTGAGATCAGCAATTACCGACCGATATCGCTATTGCCCATTTCATCGAAAGTTCTGGAGAGAATTTTGATGGGTCAATTATATAATTATTTTGTGGAAAAGAATGTGTATTGTGACAATCAATTCGGTTTCAGGCCCAGATTAAACACCTCCAAAGCCATTACTGATACTGTTGATGAAATCACGAATTGCTTTGACATTTTGTATTTTCACTACAATTTCTTTTCTAGATCTTACCAAGGCCTTCGATTGTGTTTCCCATTCGATTCTGATTCGTAAACTTTATTTCTATAATTTACATCCCACTAGTTGTCGTTTATTTTTATCCTATCTCTGCAATAGAGTCCAAAAAGTCACGGTTGATGGAACATCTTCTAACTATCTCTCTATGGAATATGGCGTACCTCAGGTATCTATTTTAGGTTCTCTTTTATTTTTAGTCTACCGCAGTGACCTACCATCCGATATAGAAGACTCAAAAGTTATTCTATACGCTGATGACACCACCATACTCAACAGCAGTAGCAGTCTAAATGACTGCATTGATAAAAGTTTGGAAGCACAATCTAAGGCAAAACTATGGTTTGATACCAACAGTTTAGGTACGAATGCCGACAAATCGGTGTACATGTTCCTCAGTCTTAAAACCAGCGCAACATTAAATTTAGGTCAAGCCAATAATGCACTTTTTCTTGGCATTACCATCGATGACCAGCTTCTCTGGAATGCCCATGGAGATACATTAGCTAAGAAACTAAATAAGAACGCATACCTTTTGAGACAACTAAGTAATAATGTATCACAAAAAACATTAATAGTTGCCTATTTTGCATTTTTTCACTCTTCAATTGAGTATGGTAACTTAGTTTGGGGACATTCTACTTGTCGACACAGGATATTTCATCTTCAAAGGCGTGCTGTTCGGATTATAGTTGGACTTCAGTACCGTGATGATTGCAGATCTGCATTTGTTGAACTTAAAATTTTAACTGTGCCTTCAATTTTCATCCTACATTGTTTATTATATCTCAAAGACAATATTGGCAATTATTCTAAGTTCACAGACATTCATTTATACAACACCGGAAACAAAGAAAATTTAGTTCCCAATTCAAATCGTTTGAAGAGGGTACAAACAGACACAAGATACTTAGCTGTGAAACTTTTTAATGTGTTACCCGAAGAATTTCGTAGTAAGCCTATTAATATATTAAAAAAAAACTCAAAACTTTTCTTGTTATGAATTGTTTTTATAGTTTTGAGGATTATCTTCGATGTAGAAATTTTAATAGTTTATTGGTTTAATTTATTATTTGACTTGTGTAAAACTGCATTTGTAAGTATTTAACACCAATAAAGTATTGATTGATTGAAGTTTTCCGCGCAACACCTAGACGCATTTTGTGTTTATTTATCATGTGTTTTGTTTGGGATAAACAGTCCACGATATAAACCCTCAAAAGAAATTGTTTTAAATAACCAATCACGTGGATCCTGGCTAATGTAACATCACATAAATTCTTTGTTTGAATCGTTGATACAGTGTGGCATAATTGAACATAATGTAAACTCTTTGGTTGAATCGTAGATAAAGTGTGACAAATATTAAACTCACGTAAATTTGTTAGCTTTGCAATTTTTCACCTCCTGCAATTTTAACCTCACACCAGATCGTTTGTTGTTTTTATAAATCTTTGCTAGTGTTTTTTTGTGTAAATATTTTGTTGATGAATATTTCCATCATATAAATTATATACCTGATGTCCAATCTAAATCTCAAATAAAAATTCTTTGCTATCTAAAATTTCACAAGATTGTACGGCGAATTTAAATGTTGTGTGCTCTTTTTTTGAAACTTTGACACTTATTCAGTTGTAGTTCAATATCAGAGTCATAGAAATTGAACATTTGAACGGAATTGAGGTTAGATAACACAATAACGCGGAGTGCGCGGTTCTTTTACGAGCTGTCAGATTTAGAATAGGAGGAATAGGCACTCTTGGGGCACCTGAATGCATCCCGCCATTTTTCAAAAACACAACGTAGAGTTCCATCACGGCCAAGACCAAATTTTGAATGTTTCGCGGGTCTTTCAAATTTTTTTCAAGTGCCAATTTGAGGCGGGAAATTTGGATTATCACAATACATATCTTTATTTTTACTCACAAGGGTTATCATAAAAAATAAAATTCGCAAAATCAATCTTATAATTTTTTGAAAAAGCTGGATTTATTCTGCTGTACTCCAGCGCTGCGAGGGAAGTACAACCTTCCACCAATTTCTTACTGTAAATCTTAACCGTCAATACGTCATTGCTTCTTAACTCAATTTCCTTCTATTTACCACTCTTGTAATTCTTTATAAAATTCGAGCGTTGCTTCCTGCTACTATCCAGTCCGAAAGGCTGAAAGTTGTTAGCCCCTGTAATGCTTGCGGTGGCTTCTGCTGAAGAACATGAAAATGAGTACGAATGTGATACCGGTTACAGTTCTAAAATTGGTTTATTTATATTTCTTTACAAAATGTTATTATTTCTGTGCAGTGATTACATGCTTATAACAATAAAACAAAAGAAAATTGTTAACATTCAACGAATTTTCGAATGACGAGTATCGATGTATAAATAATTCGTTTTGATGAAATGGTGACACTCAGGGTCCTGAAAAAAGGACGGCGTGCCACCCCGTACTGAACAGAAGATTCCGAAAATGCCAGGCTGCAAAGCGCCCTATTTCGCTTGAGGAAACAAAATTTTTGGAAGCGCTAAAAAAGATTTGCAAAAAGCATTTGCGGTTGACTACGTGATATATGGAATTTAATGCTCACATAAAAAAGCACCTACCACATCACAATTTAAAGGCACCAAAGAAGAAATCTGCATTTGATTTTGGTTTAATATTTTTTGTTATACTTCAATGAAGAAAAATAAACTAAAATAGGGTTCTGTTCAGTTTGGAACTTATATCTTGGTCACATAGTTTTACAGTTATATGTGAAATCTAATCACCAAACGCACTATAATTTTATTAAAATCAAACGTAGTATTTCACCAAAAATTATGCAACATTTTCGATATTCTTTTCATTAAATTTTTCGAAGTAGTCGAGGTAGAAAGCCTCATATTTTTCATATTTTTGTACATAACTCTATTTACATATCGGATTATCGATAATGTACGATTATAATTTGTTTCTAAACATGTAATGTGAAGAGAATTTTGGAAAACCATTTACTACTTTACTGTATAAATGATTTCGTATATAGGGTAATCCTGCTTAAGTACGTAAAGCGGATTTAGGTTTCATTTATATTTCATTCTTCTTGGATCAATACTCTTCTATGAACTAATCGTAGTAATCAATTTTAAAATCCAAAAATACATAAAACACATGTACTTTTAAGTCCGCATACTGCGCAGACGTTTCTAGACATGTACCGGTTGATAATTATTTCTTCTCACAATAATTCTAAAAATAAATTCAATCACAACATACAAACAAAATACACAGTTTCATCACAGATGAAAAATAAGCATTAGTAACTTTGCCTAATATAATAATTATGGCAAAACAACTTAGTGATAACGCATCGAATTGAAACGAGCTTTTAACTCACACTATTTTAACTACGGACGTGTAAAATTCGGCACATGCATTAACTATCAACTTATTTAGCGTTGTAGAAAAACAAAAAGTTATAAACATGAAGTTACTATTTAACATATTTATTAGCAAAAAAATCAATGGCCACAACAGGGTTCACTCTAACATTAACTGAGGAAATCTGTATGTACCGTTAACATGTGATGATTACGTATTTAATTTTTTTTGAGTTCTATACAATGAGGAAACTAACTACTAAATAATTTCTGATTAATTTAGAACTCAGATTTCAAGAGATAGTGGAAACAAGAAACTGTTTTTTTTTAACTTTTTTTATGAAATTATAGTCTGTTCTGAATCGAATGATAAAATCTGTGTTAGATAGAATTAGTTTTAACGTCTATACAATTAATAGTTCTTCACATATTTATTTCTTTTTTTATCTAAAACTGTATTTCTAATTCCGTTACACAAATTAAGGTAATTTTAACTATAAAATGGCCACCATATAATTTTATCTTACATATGAAATCAAACTTTTGTTTAATTTAATTTAACGCCACATTTTTTTTAATCTCATCTGTTTCTAGTCATAAAATAGGAGTTTTTAGAAATCGATAAATAGAACTAGAGATCTAATATTATTATTTTTTTGGACGATTCTAGTTGTTTTAGTTAGTAATTGTCATTTTAAAACAAAGTGTAGGAAATAATTTTGGTACTGCGATTATTTGCAAGGTAGTATAAATATTTACAATACGTGAATACTTATAAAACTAATAAAAATAACAAATAAAATTTTCTCTATCAATTATTACTTTTTCTTAAATATTTTTATTGTTTTGTAGACGTTACTTTTAGAACATCATATTTGTACTGCAAATATGGAAGATATATACCTAATTAATCGTATTAAATCGCATTGTATGACTATCTAAGAATATCTTAAAATTACAAACAAGTCAAATCATTTAAATTCTCGACAAATGCAAAATTTATACATATTCTAAAGGCAGCTATTTGTCTTTGGTAGATTTTTGTCATCTTTTACGTATAAACATGCACAACTATCCAAAATATTTATAAAACTATTTCAAATAAAAATGTTAAAACAAACTAATCTCTCTTACTAATGTATCTTCAGAATCAAAGAATATCTTTTTATGGTTGATTTCAAATTTGCACCCTATGGGGGGGGGGGGGGGGCACTGTATAAATATTTCTTATTACATTTAACACAGATTTATGATAAAATTCAGTTTCTAGGCGTTCTTTTCTTATTAAACCTCATGAAATTCCTTTTCTTGTAATGACTAAAATACAAAAAGAGACTGTCGTTTGTTAAAACTTAGTGACCTGACTATTTATAAATCGACTGGCTAAAATAGTTTCCACTTTGAAAACACTGTTTACTTAAAAAAGGAGAGACGTAAACATAAACAATTCTCACATTATAAGAAATGTGAGCGAATGTGGTTTTTCTGCTTTGAAAATAAAAATCTGGAAGAAGAAAGAGATTTTCATCGCTTTGTTACACAATGGCGATGAAGAAAAAAATATGTACCTTGGTTGGCACGAAACATTGTTTTGCATGTTTACTAATTAAAAAAATGGATAAACAAGGACTATAAAACAATAAATTTGTATTCCTGAATACGGTAACATCATACTGAAGGTTTTTTAACACAGAAATTCAAGTACAATATTACAGTTTAAGATTATTTTAAAAAAGTAAACATAATAAGCATTGAAAATGATTGATGACATTAGCTGTAAAGTATAAATAGTGACTAAAGTATTATTAAGTAGCTTTTTCACTCCAAATAAATACCTTTAAATCTAATTCTAAAGAAACATTTTATGTTTCCACCGAGGCGTTGTCACGAGTTGTTCGAAATTTAAATATTTATAAACTAGAAATCACAAGTCTTGAAACATATCTAGACTAAACATTTTACAATACACAAATCACAAACAGCGTAAGCTGGAAAGTATGATAATTGCTAATTTTAATTAAAAATTTTATAAATATAATGTTTCCCGGCGCTGACTTGGGCTGCTAATGGATTGTTTGGAATGTTTTTTGTAGCTGATGGCAACTGGCTCAATTTTTTTGTGCTTCTCTATGACTGGCGTCGAACTATCCGGGTGTTCTCTACTTTCCCATACTAAGTTAGTCAAACTTCGAGGCCTAGATAACTTTCTAGTTCTTTTCTCGGGTTGTTTAACAACTGCCGCGGAATCTCCAGACGCCTGGCCTCCCGAATGGCTAGAGTCTAATGTGCCATCGAAATCCATTGTTTGCAGGTTGCTTAAAGATTTGTATCTAATGTTAAAAAGTGGAGATCCCGACTTGGACATGGAGCTCGGCGGGGTCTCCTTCATCGGAGAAGCACTTTTCTGGCGTAACAGTCGACCACGTTGAGACTGACCGTTCTTAAGATACAGCTTCGGAAAGCCGGGAGGTGTCTTATCTGTGTGAGTGCGGACTTTTGCCGCATTAAGTTCCCTAATTGATGAAGTAGCCGTTTTACGTTCTCGTTTTTCCGTTTGAATTTTTTTAGTGGGTATTGTTTCTATAGGCGGAGGTTCTGGTTTACTACCATCTGAAACGAGATGCGACGGTGTGGCACTGTGTGAACTCAACGAAGGCGAAGGGTTGGTAAAGGGCGAGCGAATATTCTTGGGTAACGGAGCGAATCCACGTACGTAATCATATATCTGATCGATTTCGTCGTAATCTTTCGATTGGATGGGTATCCGGTTTTCATCTCTACGATGATGGGAGTGTTTCGGGCGTTGATTTCCCGAATCCGACGAAGCGCTTCGACGTAATAAATAACCATTCTTCATTTCTTTTGGGTGGGTCGCCGATTGTTTCTTTGAGTCGCCTAATTTCCCATCTAGAACTTGGATTCGATCTGCAACATCGCTCACTAATTTTATACACTTTTCTACCAGTCTGTTGAATTCGGTCATAGCCTTTAATTGATCCTCATTTCGCGTTCGCAGTAATTTTAAAGGTGCAGCTAAAGGCAGAAATATTACATTCTGAGATTCCTTTTGCAAAGGTAAGGCAAACACATGTTCTTCTTCAAATACTGATAATAATCTAAGTTCTGGCACAAAATGACTGGGACTTTTGAGTCCTCGTGGTGCGGTTCCATGAACTAATCTAACTGTTAAAGGCAGTCGTTTACTCAAGAGATTTTTTGCGGTGTGAACTCCACTAATATTGTCTTCCCGAGCCAACGCTGAAAACTTCCCTCGTTGTTCCAAACCCAAAAGTATACTGTCACCTCCATTGTCCAGGCATTTCAGGTACCGACTTTTAGAGCCTGGTACGACAATTTCGCCAGCAGGGACTATTATTTCACCCGCAGAAATAGTTCTGGCGCCTTCAGGAATGATGGCACCTTCTAAATGAGTCTTAGCTTGCACTCCTCGGATAGTTTCTCGTACGAGGCAACCTTCTTCTGGTCTGCGCCGCGCTAATTCCGCCACACTTTCTATACATCGTACCGCCCTGCCTTCCTCACTAAGCAGCTCAAAATATCCTGTATACGTCTCGGGAATTACTAGCCGTGGCCCAACGGAAACTAGTCGGCGACCTTCTTTGATTTTCACAGCTTGTGCCACGATTTTCTGCCTTTTTCCCGCGGATATTAGTAGTGCTGTTGACTGCAAGCCAGGGCTTGGTAGTGTTGGAACTCCAAGACCTCCGTATTGACCTTTGATTATCTTCACTACTGCGGGCAGTTGACACTTCAAGATAAATTCCCGAAGATAGTTTCCCTCGTCTGCCCATCTTGCGGCTGCAACTGTAATCTGACCATCCGTAGCGGCCATCTTAGTACCTCTTGAACCTCATCTCTGTAAAAAAAATCTTAATCAGATCTTATTTCACAATAAAATCGAACTACTTATCACTCATTCACAAGCAATAAAAATGGAAGATACTGTTCAATAGAATATAATTCTACACACCAACAGATGACAGACATAACAAGAATCGACATTTTCATCTTCTATCCGGTGTGAAATATCGTGAAATTAGACAAAATGAACTTACTATAAGACTTCTAGCTCACACATGGGATAAAGATTTCAGATTTATTGTTATTATTCTTACTTATCGGCAAAAAATGATAAATAAACATATTATTAAATGTGTTACGTCCAACTAATCGTCATACAAGCATAGTAATTCTTCCAGCTCATGATAAGAAAATACTTTTTGAAATAATCCCTTTTGACAAATCGTATCATCCGTAGAAAGTAAGTAAGACAGTAATACACGAATTAGTAGGACTGATGATGATAGATGATGCGTACCACGAGAGCCGGGGGTAAATCCGCCATCGCCGCGGCGCCGCGGCGAGGGAAGAGGATTCTGGCCTGAAGCCTCAAAGGGTGAAGAACTGTTGTGGCTGTGTGGAGACGTTTTTTTTGACAATTGTAGAGAAGTGTGCAGTTTGACCCTCCGACCACCGTAGGTACCTTTCTGGATTATCTGCCTGTTTGCGTAACGGTTTTTGGAATCGCCGCCTCCGAGCGAAAAACCGTACTACCGTCACTGTTTTTTTTGTGGTCGCCGTCACAAGTCGTAACGCGCGATTTCAAAGTTCAAGTTCGCCGCCCCCAGAGCCAGGAGGAGCCCATCCCGAAGGAAGTCGCCGCCCAGGAGGAACGACCGTGCCGGATATTTAACTTTTTTAGCTGCTGGTGGCAGAGAATAAACACGATTATTATGTAAAACATTCGCCGTTTTATTTTATTGTTTTGTTTTCACGGGCGCTCACCACCTGAGATCCATGTCTCCGGCTTGAGAGCAACCCCGACGCTCCCTTCCGCTGCATAAGCTTAGGTCGGCCAGACGTGTTTGTTATATCAGCGACACTAGTCGGCCCAAAGCTTGGCACCCAGGTACGCCGCCACCACACGTTATTGGCGAGATTCCCGACCGTCCGCCCGTCCCACCCGGAATTTCGTCACAGTTTTTATATTTTGTGGTTTTTATATTTTTCAATATTGTGTTGGTAATATAGATACCTTTTTCATATATGTATGGTGTAGTTCGTAGAAATTCTAAATATTTAAAAAAGAGACAAGTTGATTTTGAATTTGACTCAATTGTAAATACAAGTACAACAATACAAACACCTATTAAAACACCAACACTTCTCACAGTACCAACAAAGAAATATCAAATAATAATATGTTACACGAAGTGCAAGAGTTGTAAAGCCTCCTCAAAGGTTGACTTATTAAAAGGTTTTTTTTTGGAATTAAAAAAAAACAGTCTTACTTTTATATAGATTGTAAATCTAGTTAAATAAGATAGTAGTTAGCTGGGAGACGGATGAATATACCTAAATAAGACATAATTTTTGGAAAACCTATGAATTTAAAAAACCTGACTCTAATTATACGTATTTAGAGCAGGGACACATTAAACACATTTTGGATTAGGAAGTGAAGTAAAAATTATTTTAATAATTCTTTATTCAAACAATGTTGGTATTCATGTCGTCATTTACAGGTTGTGCAATATTAAACGCCGCAAGTTCTTAGAAATTTAACCTTTTATTTTACAAAGTCGTATCTATAAATGGGATTTTCATTATATTGCACATTTTTTGCGATACGAATTCGGTCACTCTCTAACTTCTTTATTTTCACATATGTACATCTTTATTTCCATGGATTTTATTTCAATGTTGCTACAAATCCATGAATATATTTAAGGTGAGAACTATTTACCACTGTTAACGAGATATGATCTTAGATCCTTGCATTCATTTTACGCGTTACAAATTTGGTTAATTTAGGGATGAATGGACTGAATTTTGTTTACTACTTTTGTAAATTTTCGAAATGGAACTTTTTCTAATTTCAAATACGACAAATTGTATAACTGAAATGTCCCGGCTTCAGATTTGAATAAATCGTTAATTAACGTTTGCGTAGGAGGAAAATCGAATCGGGCGTTTAACAACCGTTGGTACAAAAAGTACAGTTGGATCGAAAAAAATGCGAAATGTCACAAAAAAATTACATGTTTATAGAATATTTGGACTACGTTAACCAAAAACGTACTAAGCGACAAAATTGCAATTTGAGTAATACTAGAGTAAACTTTCATTAAAAACTAAAAATTTGTATTAATGTCGGAATAAAATTTTTGTCTTAAGAATACATGACGTTATGAATGTAGTCTATTTTGTTAATGACGTCAAAAACACCTACTAGTCCTTTACAGATTTAACGAAGCATTTTGGCGCTTGGTTCTTTTTTGAGAAAACCATGATATTAAATTTATTATTCCGTAAAAAGGCCCTAAGTAATTTTTTGAAAAATATATATATTCATATTAATTTAACGACCTACTATAAAAAGGAACATATGCCATGAAACAAAAACAAAAATGATTAAGTTAAATTTGTTTCCCCTAATTCGAAATCGATATCATCTGAAAAACCCTCCACATAAAATTCACAGTTTATTTCCCGTAAGTTTTTGTAAAAGAGTTTTGCATCCTCGGGAATAAAAGAACATAATGTTTTTAGATCTGCCAACTTTTTACGCGGTATTGCTTTTCCATTGGGCCATAATGTAGACAATTTTCCAAAATTTTTAGAAGTCTTTTCCTTTTATGCATCAAAACTTCATTGTAGATCTCATTTTCCTGATTACTTGTAATAAAAATTGGTCTAAAGAGTTTAGACAGTACTTCCCTCGCTGTCGGAAACTTGACGACTGCATGCCTATTGTGTTTTTTTTCTCATTACATTTTTGTAGTGGGAATTTAAAAAAAAATTGCGATGACGTCATCAACATTTTTGCAAGGACACGTATATCGGTTGGGATAGATGTAGTGTAATACTAAGAATAAAATTATTATATTCTCAAATTTTCGGGAAAATGAATTGGGTCGTTTGAATATTGATTTTTAATAATCAATAAAATAACGAAACAATTTACTCACGTATACCTACGTATCAGAGGCAACTGAAAATCGTGTATGTATAAACATTGTTAATTTAAGATGCCAGGCGTAACAGCATACGTGAGAGCCAAACACAGAAACTGTAAACAAAACGACCGTCGGTTTTATTGCTTCGACTTCCGCTTATTATATAAAACATTGGGTTTTATTTTAATTCTTGACGGTGAAATTCACAATTGGTTGATTATAAACATGTCTATTTCACATTCGCGGAATCAAGTGAACGCATAAAACAAATGCAGGTCTGTAATGTTAAAGTCGATGTAAATAAGCGTGCTACCCTTATGTTTCAACCGAGTTTTTCCTTTAACAAATTTTGTGTCTACCAAATTGGGTTGGTTGGGGTGTAATACTAATAATAAGTGTTGCCTTTAATTTAATCAATAAAATAAATTGACTTCATTATTTTTTTTGAACCACCTCTTAAGAAAATCTAAAAAATATGAATGGAATGATAAATCACAAGTACAAACTCATCATATTTTTTGCATTTTAGATAGGATTTATTCAGCAAAATTTAAGGGTGACGTCATCAATTTTTTTAGGAGGGATGAACAAATACATTTTGAACAAAAGTTTACCATGCTTATAATAACTTTAAAATATTCCCAAGATTTCAAAGCATTCGGTTTTGTAATTCCTGATTAAATCGATAAAATAAATTCACGCCTTCATTAATTTTTTTGAGTCACCCTGCATATGCAAATCCAAAAATATGAATGGAATGATAAATCACAAGTACAGACTCATCATATTTTGTACATTTTAGATACGATTTATTCGGAAAACTTTTGAGCTGACGTCATCAGTTTTTTGTAGAAGATAACCAAATATATTTTGACTAAAAATTTATTATGCTCTTTATAACCTTAAAACATCTGCAATGTTTCAAAGCATTCGGTTTTGTAGTTCCTGATTAAATCAATAAAATAAATTTACGCATTCATTAATTTTTTTGAGTCACTCTGTATATGCAAATCCAAAAAATATGAATGGAGTGATAAATGACAAGTACAGGCTTATCATATTTTGTACATTTTAGATATGATTTATTCGGCAAACTTTCGAGCTGACGTCATCAAGTTTTTGGAGGGGATAAGCAAATATATTTTGACTAAACATTTATTATGCTCTTTATGACCTTAAAACATCTGCAAGATTTCAGAGCATTCGGTTTTGTAGTTCCTGATTAAATCAATAAAATATATTTACGCATTCATTAATTTTTTTGAGTCACCCTGTATATGCAAATCCAAAAAATATTAATGGAGTGATAGTTCACAAGTACAGACTCACCATATTTTGTACATTTTAGATATGATTTATTCCACAAACTTTTGAGCTGACGTCATCAAGTTTTTGGAGGGGATAAGCAAATATTTTTTGACTAAAGATTTATGATGCTCTTTATAGCCTTAAAACATCTGCAACATTTCAAAGCATTCTGGTTAGCAGATTAAAAATTAAATTTCAAAATGTTGTTTTATAATTTTGATTTTTTTTCCAAAAATCTGGACGTTTCGGGTGAAAAGTCGATTCAGAGGTGTAAACTACATGTGTAGGACTATGTTATTTTATACAATTGAAAACCCATTTACTATGTACAATTTTGAAGTGACGTCATCGCTTTAGTGGTGGGGATGATTCGACAAATTTTGGTTAGCGTTTTACCATCTACATGATATTCTTAATATAAGTACAAAATTTCACAACAATCGGTCGAGTACTTTCGGAGATTATCTGTCTAATAAAAATCCGTGACAACAGACGGACAGACGGACAGACGGACAGACGGACGGACAGACGGACAGACGGACAGACGGACAGACGGACAGACAGACGGAAATGGGAGACCTATTTCTTC